CCCTCTCTTGTATCCCTACCCAAGGGGAAAGGAGAAGGATGCATTTTTACAGGTGACTTTTTATGCCTTGTTTTTGTACCCAATAAAACTTTCCCAAGCACAACTGCTGAGCACCTCCAGTGGCCTTGAAACTCATTTGGTGAAAGTACTCTGCACCCCTGAAAGTAATTAACTGGAGTAATTAGAAAGGAATGCAATGCTCCATCATCTTCATTTGCTTCTTTCTTTGTTTTGTTTGAATAGAGAAGAAAAAGACCTACCTCAAGGTCTTCCAGTGTGATTTCACATCCTCCTCCTGCTGCTGAAAAGAGGCAAGGGCTATGGGTGAATTCTACAGCTGATTTTTTAACAAAAATATAATTTAGTGTACACGTTGATGTATTAATTAAATAAACCCTGATCTGCTTCCCTTTCTGTTATCTTTTGTAACACATTTTGCATTCCCATCCCCAGCAGCTGAGTTTCAAATGCCCACCCTGTAAAACTTTATCAAGGAGATCAGCAAGATGAGCAGACATTCACTTCCTTCTGGGACATCTCAGTGAAAGAGGGAACACACATTAACCTGGCCATGACAAGAGCAAAATTTGCCTTTCTGAGGTAGAGAATGATCCAGTAGGAAAGAAACTGTCAGAGTGGGTCGGAAGGACATTTCTCACGCCCTGACATGCGCATGACAAAGTTTCTTTTTCTAGCACCTTTCCCAAGATGATTGGCCCCTCAGAGACACCAGACTGCAAGTTATGAGTCTAATCCTGCCAGCAATGAGAATGTTCCCAAGGACAGGAAAATCTCCTGCTGGGGAAGCGCTCAGATCCTTTGACACAGCCCAAAGGAGATGCAAGAAACTGCAGGTGTTTCTCCAATGTGAGAAGCTCCATTGTGGAGGCAGCAGGAGATTTACTGGCCAGAAACCCACACATCAGTAAGATTCTAGTTGAGATTTGGTCCATGTTTCAGCTCCCATGTGCCATAAGCAAGATAGCAGAGACAGATGAAGTTTTCACCATCCCTGTTTGAAAACCATGGAGATGCAGCTCTGGGGAACATGATCAGTGGGCATGGTGGGATGGGTTGGGGTTGGACTTAATGGTCTTAGTGGCCTTTTCTAACCTTCATGATTGTGTGATTCTATCAGGCTCCCTGTCAGACCCAGCTCTAACACATTCAGGACTCAGAGAAACCCAATGCCATCTTTGTATCTCTTTTATATTTAGGTGAAATGGCTGTCAAGGACCTACAGCGCCTTGGGCATGACTGAGATTTTGTGGTGTCAGGTACTATGGAAGGCCAACCCCTGTGTGGGTCATTATTGTCCCTTCTCTTTCTTCCACATGTTCAAACACAGAGGCATGGGCTGATGGGTTTGAGGCAGAAAGCTGTGTATATGGACACAGAGAAACTCCCCAGTCCAGATGTTAATTGCATCTGGGTTGAATGACACAGCAGCTTATTGATATCATTTTCTCCTTTTTCACATGCAGTTGAACAGTGGCAGCCTGTGATTATTTTAACTGACTGATGCACAAGGAAATCCTTTCATTATAGGGAAGAACTGCATCTGAGGGAGTGAGTTTAGAAACACAGAGAAATGAGTGCAGCATTCCTGCATCTTCCAAACAGCACAGAAGGAAGGGAGGTGTTGGGGAGAAACCAGGAGGGGACATTAAGGAGGGATTAGTGCTCCGCTGAAACAGCAAACAGAATTAAAATGGAAATACAGAGGGAGGTTGAAAAGTCAGCTGCTAAATGCTCTGCAAGTGAATGCTGTTAAATATTTAAATTTCACAATCAAGCACATTTTCATTTATCAAAAAAAAAAAAGAAAGAAAGAAAGAAATGCCCAGGAGGACTCTGAGTCTGAGTCATTAAGCAAGGTAATGACATTTCCACCTCTTCCCTCTATAAATAATTAGAAGTGAGTTATGTGCAATGGAGGAATAGCACTGTCATTGTGCAGGTATGGGATGGATTGGCCCAGCCCACCAGGCTCCATGTCATCCCTCACAGCTCAAAACAGGGCACCAAGCTCACGGATGTTCTAACTGCCAGGAAAGGGGTTCCACCTCCACCAGCATTCCCCAGTAACTACCAAAGAGCTGTTAGTTGTGCCAGGCTGCTGAGAGGTGGTCAGGACACACACCTACCGGCATGGCTTTCTGCTCTTCCAATGGTCGTCGTTCATCTCAGCTGAGAATGGACGTATGAATACATGTAAAAATGAGTTAATCTTGTATCTTGTTTCAGTATTTTCAATTATAACAAAACACCGGGGGCTGACCTGAAATTTGTTTTCTTGTTTTATTTTCTCACCATTTCCCAGTGGAGTTTTCAGCAGAGCCAACAGGATCCAGCAGGCACAGCCGAGGAGCTGGTTTTTTTCACTCAGCTCGGCTGTTAACTTGAAATGGTTGTTCTGAGGTACTACGAAAGGCCCCTCATTTTTGGTATTCAGAAGTTTCCACAAACACCAAGCTGCTTCCAAGCCTTTTGAAGCAAAGCTCAGCTTTGCAGAATCAAACTGGAGCAGATCCACCAGCCCTCACCCATTGCGGCTGTTAAGAAGAGCTGAGCCTTCTCCCACTTCCAACAAAAGCCATAGCGACATCAGTATGAGCAAACACTAAAATGAAATTGCCTATAAACAGTGAATTCCTCAACACAGACTCCATCCAAATCATCATTTAAATACGAATTTCCAAACTTATCTCCTGCCAAAATATAAATGCATTTAAACAGTCCTGAGCTGTGTGTACTATAACACCTTATTTGCCCATTCTAATGGGCCTGGAAAGGAGATAAAACTCTCAGAGAGCATTCCAAATTTCTCTTCCATGTTGATATTTACAAAGATCTGAATCAAAGGAGGGAGAAAGAGTAGAAAAGTGGTTTCTGCTTTGAAGCTTTGAACACTTAGGGTTAGATCAGATAAAGGGCTTGAGCAGAGGGGTGGTTAGCAGCTCTGGACTTTCATCTCTCAATCCTACCTAACTGCTGCTGAACCCTAGAAGTGCCTGAGCTCTGAATCACACTGTTTGACATGAAGGTATTTTAAACATGGATTTATGTCCAAAAGTTTGGCTCTAGCCTCTCTGCTAGCTTCCACCCATGGTTTTAGGAACTCAGGTGGTTGCTGTGCAGTGCAAAGCCAGTGAAAGCAAATCACTTGTTCAGGGTTTTGCATGGAAAGCTCCCATGGAACAATGTCCATGGCTTTTGGAAGTCCTGAATTTTGGAACTGTCTTTTGAAAACCCCACTCTGTGTCCTTCTGGTAATAAAGCTCTCTCCAAGTAGGCTTGTGCCTTGAGACATTGAGTGGGAGGAGGGCTGGAAGGAGAAATCAAGGCTGGGAGACCCCGTGCTGCTGGTTCTGAATCATTCATGGAGCCCAGTTTTCTGTTCTTCCCATTTCCACATAATTTGTTGGGAGCTCAGTGAGCAGAACTACAAAGAGCATCCTTCTGCCCTGGAGGGAGAACAGCTGGCCAGGCTGTGCATGCATCTCTTCTCCCTCTTACATGGGAAACACTCCCTTTCTCTCTGACTACACTTCAGGACAGTTCTGTGCACTGACATTATTATTCTTGCATGATCCAGAAAATGTTATCTACAGAATAACCGTCTGCATTTAATAAAACTTTCAAAGCTACACTGGTACACCTTTCACATTATTTTGTTCTGAGTGACAGATTAGTAGTGCAGAGGGAACACTCGGTTCCTCTGCTCATCAACACAAAATAAAACCAGAGTGTTTTGCAGGGATCTGGTGGCGCATCAATGAATTTGTTCCAATCTCTTGAGCATGTCTCCCACAGGCAGTATTTTATTTTCCACATGGAAGCAACCTCTCTCTTTGAGATGAACAGGCCAGCAGTGTAACTGAGCTATCCTGCTTATGATGAGAGAGAACTGCCTGGAGGCATTCCATGAAGTAATCAATACAGCAGAATGGATGGCCAAGGACTGTGACACGCACATAGGGATGGGTGTGCAACCAGTGCCAATACTCAGCATCAGAGGAGGGATCTGGGGGGAGTTTGTCACACTGCAAGTATATTTGTGTTCAACTGATTTTTTCCCTTTAGTTGTCTCTTCTATGATCTTAAGGTCCCTTCCAACCCCTATGATTCTGTGAGCCTGCGATCATAGATAGAATGGATTGGGTTGGAAGGGTCCTTAAAAATCACCAAGTCCAGGCCACTGAAAAAAATATGAGACATTTCACAGATTTATGTCCCATTTACTGACCATTGGCACACCCTCAGGTGTTATTTAATGCTTTGAAATCTACCCGTTTTCTCAGTCCCAGCTCAGTCTAGCCCTGTGCATCTCTCAGGAAGAATCCATCCCATCTGATGGAGCTGGTGGGCTCAGAGCCAGGGAAGTGTCTGTGATCTCAGTGCTGCAACAATGCCTCCTTTGTCAGTGCTTTTTAAGGGAAAAGCTGCTAAAAGAACTCTAATATTGCATGCCATAGGGGAAAGTTTAGAAACACAGCATAATTAGGAGTAGGAAAAGCTTTCTGGTTTCCCTTACATTAGGGATTTGTCACAGCTTGTTTCTCCTGAACCACAGAAATTTACTTCCTGGCATTGAGTGAATGGTAGAAAAAGCTTTCCGCAATGAGGCACACATGTGACACCCCAGGGCTCATAAACAACAATTGCTACAGGATAAACCTATTTCCAGGGTCTGCAAACTCCTCCCCCCAGCTGGCAGAGCCCTGGTTTTCTATGTTGTGATTCAGATCTTCAGTAAGCTCCTCGGTGTGTTTCATGTGTTAAAGACCTATCAGTGAAAACTCAGCAATATGGAAGGTGGGAATAGGAGACCTTTGCAGAGTAATGACAGATCTGCTTGGAATAATTACTTAATGGGATGCATTTGGGCTGTCTGGATCTGCATCAAGCCCACTACCCTTGAAAGCAGCATCAGCTGCACCTCCCTGGGAGCAAGTGGGTGGGTATAAAATGGGATGCAGAGGTGTTACATGAGGTTTGCAGGTGGAGCTGGGGGATTTCTTGCAGCTGGAGGAACAGTGCTAGCTCTTGAGTGTGAACCAGGAGGGAGCATAAAGAGGATGAAAGGTCCCTGAAGGGGAAGCCAGGTTGGTGTGGTACCTCTGTGGCTGGAAAGGTGGGTGCTGAGGTATGGGTAAAAACTGCCTTGAGTGGGGGTTTGACTTGCTGGAACACCAGGGTGGGGAGGAGGGGGATTGCAACCCTGAGTGATGTGAGGCTTTGCTGCTACAGTTGTAAATAAAGATTTGCTCTGATGATTTAGGATTTCTAAGCAAGGGTTGCTAATGGTCTATATACAGGCTCAGAGCTGGGGAGTTTCTGCTCACCCAGGGTCCCGACAACCATACTAAAAAAGTATCTGGGAAGTACTTTGCATCTGTAATGTTCTGAGTGTCACTCTCTGGTGGCGCGCACTTCCATGGCATGATGGGTCCCTGCAAATCCCACCCAAAACACTTCAGTGTGTCTATGTGGCTTAGATTTCAAGCAGTGATATCTCAGCAGCTCTAAAAAAAAAGAAAAAATTGGGATTTATGAGGGCCTTCCCCAAACCTGGGTAGATCATGACTGTACCCAAGTACAACTGTACTACTGCCCAGGAATGCTGGAGCTGGCCAAACAGGGAGATGCTTACCTGGCTTGCATCTGTGTAAACACTATATGTCTTTCCATAGCATATTACTATCTCTCTGCCTTTGAAAACTAGGTGCCTTCACAATCAGATCTTGCTTACCTCGCTCTGAGCATTTTCTTGACTTACAGTCTTCACAAATGCAAGAAGCTTAAATTTTTAAGCATTTGCAACTGGTTTTCCTTCCATCTGCCAGCAACTTGGAGCCAGATGTAACTGGCTCAAAGAGATTGGAGTGTGTTTTTCTGTTCAATATTTGAAAAATGGTTTTGTTCAGGTTGCTGATGGCTCTTTGAGCAGAGTAAATATTTGATGGTGGCTAGTGCTGTGAAAACATGTGCTGGGTTCTAGTTGTGAAAAAATAATTTTATTAAAAGCATGCAAGCTATTAATGTATTAGCTGCTTGCTGGAGGTGTATTTGGTAATGGTCAAAAAAGGCCAATGGCAGAAGTAAGAAAAATAGCAGTTCATAGAGACCTGAGCTGCCTGGCAATCACTATGAATCTTCCATGTTGAATGCCAGGGGCCAGTGCCAGTTGCCTGCACACCAGGAGTTCTTTTTGCCAGCTCCAGAAGCTCCTCGTTCATCATCTCCTGCAGATGCTGTCCCTGCAGAGGGTCTGATGCTCTCTGCCTGATGGGCACTAGAGCTCACATAGCTCCAGCATGTGCTCTGTGGTGGGCACTCAGGAACCAGGTTTCCATTATCAGGTTATTATCTTGATGCCCTGAGCCCAAAATAATCCAAGGAGGCTGATCTGGGTCTGCTGGCAGGATGTAGGTTGGCACGGCATTTCTGCAGTGAGCCTCATACGCCTCTAATGCCTTTTCCAGCCTCTCTGCAGTCCCATCTGTCTTGAGGTGGCTGTGCCAAGACCCTGTGGCTATGGCCACCCACGCCTGCGAAGAGCCAAGCAAATGCAGTGCTGGTGCTCCTTCCCTCCCTTCAGGGTCTGGGAAAGCCCTTCTGGCTATTGCACAGGGACTGGTCAGAAGCTGTGAATTAATATGGTGCTCTTCCCTTAAAGATGGAATTGCTCTCACACAGAGGTGTGCAGCTTCATTCTGAATGCCTCCTCTGTAATACCTTAGACAGGCTGTCCTTCTCACAGGTTTTATACTTTTAAGCTGTTCTTAGGATTCCCGTGTCTCCTTGTGATGCATCCTAGTTTGGGAACAGCGTAATGCAAGTAAAGATTGTTGGGCTGATATTTTGGGCACTCTTTAGTTCAATTACTGTGATATAATCTGGAAAACACTGAGCAATCCATTCTTTCTCCTCTCTGAACAATCTTATTGCTCCACAAGTCTTTCTCATTTACAACTTCAGAACAATTTACTGCAGCTTGGGCTTAATACTGCATTAAATGAAGTTCAAAGGTGGAGAAAATGCTAAACGAAGCCTAATCCCTTCCTAGCATATATAAATATTTCTAAGTAGCTCAGTATTTGCAGCAAATTGCTTCCCTGGAGACACTCTCCTGGACTATAACCACATATACATTTCAAAGTCTTTAATATTGACTGAGCACTGGAAGAGGAAACTGATAATGAGCTGGGGAATATCGTGACACTGAGACTGAATCTGCATGGATACTGCCAGAGTGAGCCTCTCTAGCCACTGGCCCAGATCCATGGTGTATCATGATGAAGGTGCCCAGTGTGGCTCGTCCCAGTGTGCAGTGACACTGGCACCTGCCTTTGTCATCTGGCTGGAGTGGATGAAACGTGACTAGTGGGGTTGCTTGGACTGATCTAACATGATAGATTGCCTGAGGGTGAGATGGGAGAAAATCGCTTACAAAAGCTTTTTTGGTATCTTTGTAATGCGTTCTGCTCTAATGATTACAGCAGCTGCTTGCTTGTAGTGTTATTTCCACGTGAAATGGGGACGATGTTGCTCAGCCCAGGAGCAGGCTCGCTCCTCAGCAGACAGAACTTTGTTAACCTTTGCTTAAATCCTCTCTCAAGCTGTTTTGCTCTTGGTTTTGGAAAGCAGCAACGTTTTGCAGTGGTAGAAGGATTGGTAACATGGATCATGGTGCTGGAGGAGGGTGAGCTGCTTCCCAAGGCACAGGGGATCAGAGCCACAAGTCCTGTGGGTGCGGAAAGAGCAGCTGCAGGAGGATGGCACAGGGAGAGGGCTCATTGATGAGCAGTGCTATAGCAGTGGAGCTAATGATGCTTCAGAGATTGGTGTATGCTGAACTGAGGTTGAACTAGAAGAATTGTTCTCAAGAAGGCTTTGTCTGAAAAGTGACAGCAGCTGGAGTCGTTCACAGCCCTGCTGAGGAACGAGGATCCAGTATGTCTAACGCTGAGCTGTGAAACGCTGACTGGAGCTGACTTTGTGACTGTGCTTTCTTTTCTTCTGGGGCTGCTTCTGACACTCACTGTCAGAATGCATGAGGGTTTCCACGTGCTGGAGGCATTAGGGGCCTGTGCCAGGAGTGCTGAGATCCTCCTGATACAGAACTGGCTGCATGGAGGTCTACTTTGCTTTCCAGGCAGGAAAATAGCACTGCAAGGACGCACTGGGGGGCACAAACCTCTTTATACCCACAGTGCTGAATGCTCTCTGCAAATGACTTTGAATAAAGCTCTTTGAACCAATTCCACATAAGCTGTGAGAGAACTTCATTATGAAAAATCTTTGTTTGCTCTGGAATAACTGAGAGTTTGGGGTACTATTTTTGCTTGCAGTGTTTGTGATCAGCTCTCAGCCTCTGTAAATGCCTCCATGGGAGCAATGTGCTTTTTTTTTTTTTTTTTTTTCTTTTTTTGGCATACTGTGTGAAACCACAGTGTGCTGAACACCTTGCCTTTGTGCCCTTGAGAAACAAAGCAGCAACCCTAGGCTGGCATGAACATACCTCTCCTGCCCATCCCGGTGGGATGTCCTCATCAGTCCTTCCTGCTGATGGAGACTGCATGGGTCCTGCTTGCTCAACTGGGGAACCTCCATCAGCCAGGGGGAAAAGCCACAGCTGGATATGCCCACTTTACCTTTGGCTCCTTTTTAGGCCCGATGCTGACATTAGGAAGGACGCAATGCTCCTTGTCCGAGGTGAATGGCGATGTCTCACAGCTATCTGTCTGGTAAAGGCTTGCTTTGTAGAGACGTGAGACATGGCTGTAAGCTGGTCTAGCCACTAGCCTTAGTAGTGATTAATCTGTAAGACTGATACATGGTTTTTATTCTTTCCATTTTAAAGTCTCTCAGACTACAAAGGAATCTGAAAGGATTTGATAGCTGAGGCTTTTCTTGTCGCAAGAACAAAGGGTAAGTAGCTATCTCTTTCAGCAGCCTAGAGAGGCTTCTAGCCAAGGCTGAGAGATTAAGAGAAGCTACCTGGCAGGCAAGTTGGCTTTTAAAGGGAAAAACAGGCTTTTAAGCTTTTGAGACAAGGGAGAGCTGAGCTGAACACACAGGGAGCAGCGAGCAAAGCAGAGGTGTTTTATATGCTCTCCTGGTTGCAAGGGTAATGGAGTAGGAAAGAATTAGCAAAACCCCTTTGTTTTGCTTTTTGGACCCTTGTAGCATAACAAGTAAATGTTATGTAGTACAGGCATGTTTTAATTGCTCTTGATTGCTTCCGACTCACTTGCTGTCTCAGCTGTTTCAGCTGCAATGAGGAGTTTACCTCTGTAAGTGACCTCAGAGCTTCCTCTGCCTTCACCTTCATTAGCGCATAAATATTTCAGAGGTGAGCACAAAGCCCAGGTATCCTACAGCTGCAGCGATGGATATAAGCTCAGAAGTGCCTAAGTAACTTTTCCATAAGCCCCATTTACTTTGAGCTGTCTGTGCTGCAGAGTCACTCGGTGCCCTCAGAGCTTGGTGCAGTGATGTCTGTGCGCAAGGTCAGAGGGAGCTGCAGCTCTCAGGGACAGCTGCCTCTGGAGGGGGAAACAGAAGTTGTTCAACTTGGTTGTAGCAAATACTCTGTGATTCTGCAAGGTCTGAACTCCTCATAGGCTGTGCCTGGGATAGAGACTCCCCTTTCAGGTGTGTGATTGCTATGGGAGCATCCTGGCTTTGCAGCACTGTCAGTCTGCAGCATCTCTAGAACTGCTGTGCGGCTTGGCTGGCCAAGCAGGAAAGCTGGCCTTACTTGGGAAATCTTTCTGCCCTTTCTTACAATGCGTGCTTGGTTTCACCTGACTCTGAGCAGCCCCAGTGAACTGCTGTGAGGGGTTAAGACACTTTCCTCCAGCTGATTTTCCTCTGGTAGGAGAGCACAGGGAAGCTGCAGCAGTTCAAATGCAGTAAGCTGTGGCCTTCTGCTGTTCAGTCACCTTCCAGGTTACTTTTCCTCCTTCCTCTGCTGCCCTGGGCACTGGAGCAGGGAATGGAGAAATGCAGCTGTGCCTTCCCTGGCTGCCATCTCTCACTTCTGGGTTACTTCCTCTGTGGCCAGAGGGAAGTACACAGCAGGAAAGTGCCTGGATTG